GGAAACAGAAATCACAACAGACCCTTCACATGCTGTGTGAACTGGACAATCCAAGTGACCTTCCAGGGCAGCAACGCCTACCAGGTTAAATGAGATGATATGTAGGAAGGCATTTTGGTACGTATAAAAATATAAAACATTAACTACAATCCCATTCGGCTTCCATTTTTGTCTCTTTCTTTGGGAACAAACATAACGTGGAAGAACATAAAATCGCTGTTCTAGCCAATTGGAAAAGAGAGGCAATGCTTCCCGTCTCACTACGCTCGTTCTAATATAGCTCTGCTTGTCACGTGGCTGTTCAACTCAGTTACTCTGCTGAGAAGGCAGAACAGCCGAGTGGGTGAGCAGCGAGGTAACGTTTCCAAAGGAAGGCATTAAATTCCATTATTAAACACACACAAGCAGGAGTAGTAATGTAAGAATTTTGAAAGATTCACAAGGAAAGGAAATAGAGCCAAGGAACTATTTCTGGTGTTCTCTCGAAAACTCCGAGTAGCTATTATGGCTATTTATTAACCAGCAACATCATAAACCTTAACCCTATTAAATATGATGAATGAGTCCTAGATCCTGATTCTGAAATATCATTCATTCACAGGGATTGCAGAAGGCCAGATGGGCACTGCAAAATGCACAGTCGTTGGGCAAATGGCCTAATGTCAACCTATGATGAGATGCGATTAGATCAACTGAACAGGAGATGATGTCTCAAAGAAATTAGGATGAAGAAATGACATTTAATTATTCAAATTTTGCCCCATAAGTCTGAAATACCCTTATATTGCCCATCATATGGCTGGCCTGAGTTTGGCCCAGGGTTTCCCAGGGCAACTGCGAACACAACACAAGCCTCTCTGCAATTACCAGGCTGGTGCCCCCTCATGAAGTGCTTTCCACTTCTTTCTTCAGCACCCACTCTCCTGTGGGTTTATAAAAAGCAGGCTTTAGGGTAGACAAGTTAGAAAAAGTCCGGCCCTCACACCGCAAGTTCTTTCCCCTGGTGAGAACCCAGCAAAGGCATCCTTTGCTCCCAGCAATAGCCCTTCTTGTTGAGAGAGTCAAGAATGATCTCACCTGTGCACCCTTGGGGGTCCTTGGACCTTCAAGTGTTTTCAAACCCTGATGAAAGGCTCATGTTCCCTTTAAAGAATGGAACTTCTTTTTTTCACCTGCCTGCTATAACTGTTGTACTTCAGCAATTCTAGCCTCACGCTTTGGAAAAAAAAAAAAATCAGTACCCTTTACAGAAGAAGAAAAAAAGATGCCCTTTCTGTCCTCTGAACAAACACACTTGTGTTTGCTCTCCTGGTGAGCAGGAGGGCTCTGCTGCAGGCTTGCCGAAGGGCACCGTCCTCACGTCTGGGCAGTGGGTCAGGCCAGGATGACCTGGGTCTGGCCCTTCTCCCGTGGGTGTCCTCCTGTCCTAAGCCCAGATTGCACCTGCCAGTCCTTTTCAAGTGCTCCCCCAATCACTACTTAACACTCTGCTCCATTTATCACTCACTTTGCTTTTATTACAAGCAAATAAAAAGAAAAGGCATCCCTTTCTACTTCTCAATAGCTTGCTAATTTGTCAGGCTGTGTCTCCAGTTTGGGTCTAGCTCTGTGTTTGCAGAACAAAATGGTGAGAAACTCTCTGCATGAGATTCTTAAATATTATGATCTTTACCGTCCCCTAACCCCCACCCCCAAGGATATATTTAAGAATGAAATAAGCAAAAGAAAGAGTTAAGGGAGAGGATTTATCTGGAGATCAATGGTAAATGGTAGAAAGAAGCTGCCTGAGGCATACCAGTCTGGTGAGTAGCTCTTTAAAACAAGCAGCTAAAAATGCCTTCGACCTCGCAATACCATAAATGTCCTGCTGCTCTCTTGCTTTTGGATTCTTCCCCGTACTTTCCATGAGCATTCCACTGGGAATTGTCTGGAATCCCAGATTAAAACAGCAATAACCCAATTCCCTTGTTAGAGTATTTATTTTCTCTTAGGTTTGGAAACTCGGCTGGGATGCATCTTGGAGCGTATAGCACAGCCTCAGCCGTCATAGGGGCTGTAAGCCGTCTCAACCAGCGTGCCCAGCAGCCCAGCTCTGGAATCATCAGAGGGAGGAAGGAAGCTCGACCTCACTTGGAAAGCCCCAGCTGAGGGCAAACAGCAAGAGCCTGGGAACCTCTACTTTTGGAGGATTCATTCCAGATGTTGGAAGCAATGGTGTCACAACAGGTCTCATGCAAATTACCAAGGAGAGGTATCTAAACTTAATCTGCCATAGTACAGGCATTCAGGCAAAATCATTACCCTGACCTGAATCCATAATATAACTGATGATACTCCAAGGTCAGCAGTATCTGTTACAGTTCTGTATTTTATAGTTATCTATGTGAAGAATCCATCTATCCATCCATCCATCCCAAGGTGATATCCTAACTATCTAACAGAACAGACAGAACAACAGTTAGAATAGATATTAGATATAACCCAATGCTATGGCCACATCAGTGAGTATTATCTAAGTGTCAACCCTGAATTCATCTATCTATCCATCCAAAAAAAAATTTGTAAAATACCTGCTTATTACAGTGGCATAATGGGTAAGAGCCTAGGCTTTGGAGTGAGGCAGAACAGAGTCTGAATCTTGACTCTCTTGCTGGTTCTGTGACCGACCTTGAAATATTACTGAAATTCTCTATGCCCTTGTGTGCAACACAGAGATAAAAAGAAGCCCCACCTTACAGGTATTGTTGTGAGAATTAAATAAAACAATTTAGATAAAGGACTTCCCACAGTGTGCAGTACACACCATAAATATTAGCTATCGTGATTTAGGCTTGGCACACAGTGGAAGTCAGTGAAAAGCTGGGAAGTATGTCCAATGTGGAGACAATCTATGCAAGAAAACATTCAAGTGTTAGTATGGAAGAAACAATCCCAAGTAGAATGTTGCCTTAGAAGAGAATTGTACTATCTGCAAGCTAGGAAGGCTGTTAAACATTCTCTTGTTCAAACACAGGTCATAAGGTAGGAAGACTGAGTTGAGTGGCTGACTCCTGAACAGCAGATTCCTTGCTCATCCCCGACTGCCAGTCGGCGTGCTTGTTTGCTTGCTTCTTTGTTTTGCCATGATAACCTCACACGGAGAGACAGTGCTACGCCAGAAGAGCTTACATCTGTCAAGGCATCAGAGGCAAACCAGGAGTTAGGGCCTCCTTGGGGGATGTCACAAAATAGAGGAATAAAAAGTTAGGAAAGAAACCCCAGCCTGTTCAGGACAAGCATTTGTAATTTCTTTCCTTCTCTCCGCTAGAATTTAAGCTTTACAAGAGCGGGGAGTTTCATCTGTTTATTTCTATATCCCCAAGACTCAGAAGAGTGCCTGGCACAGCAGAGGCACTCAGTAACTGTGTGTGTGAGATGAATGAATGAATGAGACTGGTTCGAAGGGCTCTGCCTACATGGCGTATGCTCTATCTCTAAGTCATCAGTCCTTTCGTGAATACAGTAGTCACAGGATAACTTCTGGAGGACACTTTGCATTTACCCAGCCATGTTTCTTTTTCCAGTTTTGTCTGCTCCTATGGGGCCATTCCTAAGGAGAGTTTCCTAAGGTGCCCCCAGCCGTGACCCTGGCACCTCTATTTCTCCTACAAAAGTCATTGTCAAGGACAAGATGGTAGAAAGGGGCTGTATCCTTCACCCTCCTGCCCAAATGAAGCAGGAATGTCTTGACTGAACAGGCAGCAAGCTGGAGGAGGGGATTCTCCTGCCCCCAACTCCTTACAAAAATCCCAGCAACTATCCCACTTGGAGGCAGAAGGGGTCAGGCAGCAGTGCTTCCCCAGGAACTGCCCGCACCACCATCACCTGGTTCCCTGAATTCTCACGGAGAGAAAAAAGAAGAGTGGGCATCCTTTGTCTCTGATTATTCCCCCCTTTCAGCAAACAACTTTCTGAGGATGGACGGGATGAGAGGGGAATAAGCTGATCCAGTATCGCCAGGCAGGAAGGTGATGGAGAGCACGGCCATGCCACCATTTAAGTCACTGGGAATCAACTAGGGAAGAGCCAAGGTGACCCCAGTGTCCTCCCTAGTTTGGGCTTGTCCCCTCAGGATAACGTGGAAGCCAGAGAATCTGGCATTTTTGTGATGAGGGTGGGAATCAGGTGATTCGTTCTCCCCAGCTGCCCGACTGCATTTCATCACCCAGGCTGGGTGGCAGTACAGGAAAGACAAACAAAAAGGAAACGACAGGTGTCAACGGCTTGAGAGACTAGTGGCCGCAGCACAGGTGCATGGGACCCAGCACTCTGCCAAACTGCAGCTGAGGATCCAGACAGGGAGGCGGCAGAGGCAGGGGTGGGGATGACTGGGAGAAAAAGGTGGAAATACTGTGAACTGGAGTTGTGGAAGCAAGGCAGGTACGAGAGAAGCAGTGAGAGAAAGAGAAGGAGAGGAGGA